GTAATCCTGAGTGACGCGGGATCGAATCCGCCAGGGAGCATCAGTTCCCTCAGGATTACAGGTACACCTTGCTGACGAGTGCCAAGTAGCACGAAACCCGGGTCCAGGGTTTCCTGTTGACCACCTCCAACCACCATCTTACACTTAAGGGTCATTATGAGTTACTTGGTTACCACTGGACATCAAATTGACTTGAATAACTCTATTAAAGTTAACCATGACGTCTCAACAATTCTATACGTTTGTCTCTGCCCTGAAATTCAATATAAGTCATACAAGAGTGGGTTATAATATAACTCTGATTTATCCACATACATTGAAATTTTTTCTGGATTTTCTTTCACTATTGCATTTTTACATAACTTTAAAATTTGTTTCTTTGTTCTTATGCAACTATCACTAGACTAACGTCACTAAAACGCTTCTAAGGAAAACCTAAACTGATCTAATCTAGATCAATACTGAAAACCTGGAAGCACTGAACTACCACTCCGATCAAGTATGGGAGGCAGCTACCCACTGAAGATGAAAGATGGTCGGGCAGTATCATAGATTAATTAAAGTTACACATTTAAACTGTTGCACGCCGGCTCTGTGGTCTAGAGGTTATATTCGTCTTTTGCTACATTCTTGAATGAGCATTTTAATCATACTGAAATATAGGTTTTAATAAATTCTAACCAGAAGCTAAGAATAGTAGATAACATAAGCAAAACTTGTCGGAGGTCTAGAAAAGTTTTATTAGCTAATTGTATTGCCAAAAATATAACACTTTAAGAGCATTAACTTTTGTTAACTTAAAAATGTCTTATGCAGACTAATAGGTCGTTTGGGAGGGGGGTTTATTAGAGCAGTGATACAGGTTGTGTAACCAGATCGCTAATTCATATTTAAATATTTACTGATACTGTAAACAAATAACGAAGACAAAAATGTAAGTCGAAATTGCCTTCAACTACCTAAAATAGATCATTAATGTTTGAGGATAATTCCCATCAAGAACATCTTCGCTTGACTCTATGTGAATCACTCTTGACTTCAGTAGTTATAACTTTGAGCTAGAATCTCAGGAAATTCATTTTGAAGTCGATTTTCAGTAAGAATATGATTATTATTTTACTCAGGTATATTTTTTTCCAGAGATTTATGTGGTTTAAAGATTCTTCATTACTCAGTAATAACAACTTAGAAATCCGTTATATAATAACTCATCAAGAACGTAAGCTAAACATGTAAGGTGTTAAAGTCCTTTCTAACGGTTCTGTCCTATAATGCTCGCAGTCAAACCTAAAGGTTTCATGTATACTAGTATCTAAGGGGCTGTTGGTTTTTATTTCTGAAAGATTCCATAATCGTACAAAAGAGCTGTTCAATGATCATCACACTTCATTACTTGTGATTTTAGAAGGTAATAGGTCATGATAAAAAATAACTAGTTTCTAACCACGCAAATCACTTCAGAAAACACGGAAGTAAATGGTTGATAATTTCTAGTTCTGCATTCGTTAAAAACAAACAAACAAATGACTTACAAAAACGAAACGGCAAATGTATTAGTAACTTATTATTATACTTTTAATTTCGAGTAAGTAAAGGTTGGATGGGGGGGGGTATTATTAAATCTATATGGTAAACTGTTGTTTTTTTATTACAATTTTTACTACAATGTGTAACTGTAACAAAGATGGTCACATTTTTAATTCTGCCGTACCTGTTAATACTGAAAATATAATAAAGACCTTAAGTATAATCAAACTTAAGAGGTAGTCTGCAAATAGGTTTTTACCTTAGATACTCATGACATTGTTCAGATTTCACCTTGAAAATCTTTTTCATTTTCTATTTACCATCGACTCATTTTTTTCATTTATACACACAAAACCGTTTTACAACATATAATGTAGGTATTGACGTTTTACCCCCTTGTTAGGTAACTTGTTCAATCTTTCTTCCGTTTTTTCCCCATCGATTTATCTGTTCAGTTTCTAATTATTATCTCTTTCTATAATATTTTTATTCTTACATTCTAAAATTAACGTAATACCCTCTATTGTTTAATTCTGTTATTGTTAAGTGATCCGCTTATGTTAGTTTCACCACACTTTATTTATGTAGCTAATATAGAACTTGAAAATAACTCTAACCTCAATTATTACTATAATTTTTATCTTCATTAAAAAAAATTAAGTTTTAGTTACCAATTCATGAAAGATGCTTTAGGTTACTCATTTATATCATCTATGTCGGAGATCCATTCAACAATTTTCTATCTCATCATTTGAAATAGTATTGTAGTGAACAAGAACACGAGTGGGGACGATCGAATGTATTTTAACACAATATTACAGAATATCTTATTAAAATATGAGAAGCATATAGTGAACAGTTAATTTGCAAAACAATAATCAATTGTCTCAATTTGACTGTTCCTTCTGCAAATATCCGTCCATAGTCTCCGATTATAATTGTTCATGCATTTTCGTATCAATTGCGTGCCTTTTCCGTTCTCTTCTTAACGATATTTTACTGAAATACATTCAACACACGACCATCACCATATACTACTTATGTGGATATCAGTAACCCATACCACAGTATTACAAGTTATTCTATCAATAAAATTATTTTCATTAAGTGATCAAATTATATAATAATAATAATAATAAATTTTGATTCAAAAAAAGAATTCTTAGAATCAAATATTCAATCTCTTAAGAAATTCTCTTTTTAATATACATTCAAATGGTGGTTATTCAAAAAAATATATTTTGTTTTTAAAAAAATGTTTTTTTTTCAACTGTCAGTATCTCTTATCTGTATTTAATTATTAAAGTTTTCTGATCAGTTTAGTTACCATGACTATTCCTCACCATCTATCTTATATATGACGCTTTAATTCTAGAATATGATGATTCTGGTTAGCGTTTTCTAAGCGAGTTGATTTTCTACGGGATAGGGTCGCTAACCCCATGCTCAACCCTCCTTCTTTACCCGGGACCGGCAGTAACCCCCGGAGGAGCTACAGGCGGAGTAATTAATTCTAGAATATATGTATATATATCTTTCTCTGATTCCGTCAAATAATCAGCAATACAAATGAAATGTGTCAAGAACTTTAGTGTTCCAAATTGAGTTTTACAGTATTTAGTATTGAAATAATATGCAATCCATTTCATTGTAGTACATGAATACATATAATAAACATTAAGAAATCAAATTTAATAATATACAATTAATTTACTATAGGTGGGCTAAATATATTAAATAGGCCACCCTGAATAAACCGTTATAATATACAATTTACTTATATATTTATATATTATGTTATTTAATGAATAATTCAGTAACGGTAAAATTATATACAAAATTTTTGTATATACATAGCTGATAACTTTTATATTGAATATAATATGAAAATTGAATTATTTTTATTAGCTAATAAAAGTTTTATTTTTCTTAAAAAATTAATTAATCAATTTGATAAAGTTGAGATCATGAGTCAATTGAAGCTAGACCATCATGGAAAACCTGGAAACACTGGATGGCCGTTTCGTTTTATTGTGGGACTCCTCAGCACGTTTGTTATGAGATAGGAACTCACTGAAGACAATTAGTGAACGGCTGTTCAACTTCGTGGATTAGTTGAAGTTAAATATTAACACCATCGGATGCCGTCTCAGTGGTCTATCGGTTAAGCGCTATGGCGCCAGACTGATAGATCCTGGGTTGGAATCTCGCGAGGCGGGATTGTGGATGCGCACTGATGAGGAGTCCCACAATAGGAGGAAATGACCGTCCAATGCTTCCAGGTTTTCCATGATGGTCTAGCTTCAGTTGACTCATGATCTCAACTATATAAAATTAATAAAATCTCAACAAAACCCTCTTGTAGTAATTAGTTAATTATTATTTTATAATGAAGGCTAAAAAACTAAGGTATTTTAACGAATAAAACAATGTTATATTTACAAATATTGATGAACTTTTGCATATATATTACTTCATAAATGTGTTATTACCCAATTAAAATGGAACTTAAAAATAATTTAAAATGATTTTGTTATATCTAGAGCTTAGATTTTTAGTATGTCGCGTAATACTTGAGCACTCGAACGCTAGAACTCTCTCAAGTCGCATATTGAGAAAACTGAATATTAGTAAGTAGGAATGTTATTCCCAAAACAGTGTCCAATATAGCACAAAAATCTCATGTATTTATAGTTTTTGGCTGAAAGTAAATCATCATTTCGGATAGCCAATAGACACATAGGGGGGCCTTCTTATTCATCCAATAGGGAAACTACACGTCGACATTCTAGAATGTTTCTCTAGCGGTGATTGGATGGAATGTCTTCGGCTCTTTCTGGGCTTCTTGAGGCTTCCTTGAGTTTGTCAACGAGCCATCCTTACTGATTTGTTGTAAGGTAACGAAGTTACAATCAATGTAATAATAAAACAAATCATATAAATAAAATATATTGTTTAGTTAGTAGTTAATGAATGTAATAATGATAATGATGAATACCATGGTTTACGATTAAATCATCATGTACATAAACCAGAATTTGTAAGCCATTATTTCTTTAATTCCCTATATGTTTATATCTGTTCTGTTTCATTCTCAAACTAAAAAATTGTCTCAATTATCTTTCAAGGTGATTAATACTTTAGTACACTAATTACTGAATTCATGGGTCAATATAAGCTAGACCTACATGGAAAACCTGGAAGCACTAGACGACCGTTTTGTTTTAGTATGGGACTCCACAACAGTGCACATCAGTGGTCCCGCGCACGGGACTCGAACTTAGGACCCTCGGTCTCGTTTAACCTCATGACCCCTGAGCCGGCATTCAATGGTGCATCCAATTTTAATACACCTTTGATATTTTGTTTTTCTCAGAAATAAACTTATGGAAATTTCTTAAATGTAGCATATTATACGTAAATACATGTGCATAACTTGATGTTGTTTTCTTTTACCACTGTTTTATAATTAGGGTATACCTATTGGTCTGTCTGCATCTATTCCATTTATGTTACAATCAAGTTATTATACCGGAAGTTATCAAGCACAAGCTACATTTTCATTAGTAATCTGGCCATTTTCATTCAAATTAGCTTGGGCTCCAATCATTGATTCAATTTATAGTACACATATTGGACGTCGAAAAACATGGCTTATTCCAACACAATATGCTATTGGAATTGAATTAATTATTTTAGCCAATTATATAAATAGTTGGTTAGGACGTGATCCAAATAATCCATGGAGTCCATTGGGTACACATCATCCAGTTGATATAATGCGTTTAACAATTGCATTTTTTGGATTGACATTCCTTGCAGCAACACAAGATATTGCTGTAGATGGATGGGCTATATCAATTCTATCCAAGTATGTTTACACACATTTATATATTTTACTTCCTGATTAAGTAATGTGTTCATTTATTGTGAATATTTACCAAAACATTGTTTTATTATATTCAATTAGTATTGTTTGTTTGAAGATGCAGGTACATCCAGCTGACGAGTACCAAATAGGACGAAACGCGCGTCCTGGATTCCACTGCTAGCCACTATCCACCTTTGCTTACAGTTTTTTATTATGTTTTTCTAATATTTTGATTCATTGATTATTGGTGTTTTTGTTCATTTTAACATTGATAAATTTTAGTTAATTAACGATAAGTTTGTTACTTTGTATCATGAATGTATTTAATAAGGTTCACTACTTTTCAGTACAGTATGGTTTCGTATTTTAATTTTATAGTCATTGTGGTACTTGTTAGTACAGATGTAGCGTTCTGGTGTTTTAACTGAAAGTTTAGGAATATACAAATTTCTCTGATCTATAGGCTGTTTGACGACTACAATAAGGGAATTAGTAAATTACTTTTTGGGGAGATAGGAAAGATTATAAAAGTAAGCAGAATCACATAAATACGAGAAAAAATTTTGAAATTAGAGGTATGAATTTAGTAGGTAAAGAAACAATTTAAGAAATCAAAAAAATTTATGATTAGAATTTTGATCCTGTCGACGGGCGTAACTTGCAGATACATCTTGTTAATATGTTTCGGTAGAACCTAAAATCCAGGAGAATTATCTTTTGACCATAGTGAACTGCGATGTTTGAACTTTTGTGCATTAAAAAAAGTACTTTTAAAACGGTAGGTACACAGTGAGGTGTTCGACAGAGATCAGTATACATTTGGACATAAAGTAAAGTTAGCCAGCACTAAGGTATATATATATATATAGATAGATAGATATAGAATGGCAGACAAGTTCGTAAATTAGTTTCAACAGCCAGATGTCTTCAAACTACCGTATGCTACTAAATGAAAAAAGTAAACCACACGACTCGAATAGTTAGACAGGAGGTAAACGGACAAAAAATTTTGAGAAACATAAAAGTTATTGTTTTCACAACATTGTTTCTATCTTTTTTATCTTGAGAATCTGAATCAAATTTAGGATAATTTTTAGAACTTTTGGATATTTTTCTAGTTAATTGTTGTCTTTTTCATAGTTTGCTAAATTAGAATTCTATTTGACAAAAGTCAATTAAAAATTGTTCTTTGAAAGTTTATGAATTATTGAATACAGAGTCTAAAAAAATCACACTGAGTACTTGATATATCTTGTGGCTGAGTGAATGCCCAGTTAATGTATGACGTGATAAAACTGCCAATCATAGAGCAGCGAATTATCGATTGGAACAGTGACACACGCAAACCGTACGAGCAGTCTTTAGTACTTATCAGTCCTACTTTCTGCCTAGCTCAGCCAGTTAACTCCAGAACACCAGTAACAGCCTCTGCAATATAAATCATTATTCTCAAACATACTGGGTTTATATACCAACCGAACAGACCACATCGTACCATAAAATAGAAAATAATATTTGTACAAGATTTAGCCAAAAGTAGCTGTGAATAGGGGGAACAGTAATCAATAGACTGGGGATAGCTTAGGAATGGTACATGGTATAATAATAGTCTATAAGTCAAAATAAAGCTTATAATAAGGGTAACATAGATATGAATAGTTTAGTTATTTTGCAATTATACGATAAAAAATATATGCATAATATTGGTCCTTAAATGGATCCCAAAGTCATCATTCACTATTGTTATCGGGATATAACAGTACTTTAATCAGAATTAGAATTTAACCTAAAAATCGAATTGTTCCCCGTGGTTTTTTTTCACTTTTTAGTATTTCACACTTTATAAAGAAGCAATATGAGACAATGTCATTTTTATGGTTGTGTAATGATAATTTTGATAAAATAAAAATGGTATTCATCTTTTTTTGGTAAACTAGACGAGACTATAATTTTTACAGACGAATCAATCAGGTATAAAATAACAGGTCTCAGACTTTGGCACGGAATTCACTCATCCATTTGGTTAAATAGAGTTTTGGCATTATAGTTCATATCAGTTGTTATAATGAAAACTCTAAATCCAACCCCTAACCTTGACTAACAACTGCTAATCATAATTCTAATTCCTCATATTGGTTTATAACTCATATTTGGTCTTAGTTCTTAGGTGGACACTCTGAAGGTCACTTTAGCGTCGCTCAAAGGTCGTCCATAAATTATAGCCTCATGGTAAACTACATAAAAACTTTTTACAAGTAGAAGTATATTTTTTTGTTTTTACATTTATCCCGTAAGCTTTATAGTGTTTGTTTTTAAAAGTTATTATTGTTTCCATTCAGTAAATTCTGAATGTAAACATCAAATGACTTGGGTATATATAACATTGAGTTGTTTTTCAAAATTAGATTAACTTTATAGTAATAAAAATAATAATAATAACAATAAACACCAGTAGACGCAAAACCAAAATCCGGGAATTTTTTTTCTGTTGACTACAGTTATGAAACAATTCAATGATGTACATTTACCTCATTATCAGAGGTGTTCTCACCGAATCCTATGAGTAACAAATAATTCTTTGCATATATTTATCAGTTTAGTTTATTATTCGCATTTTAATCATCTTATTGTATTCAGTTTAAGTGATAACTACCTCATAAAAAGTGTGAAATATTGGTGCAATTTAAAGTCTGAACAATAAGTTAACACTTTATAGAAGAAATGGATTGTAGTTGGCGATAGAATCCAGGACGCTTGTTTTACCCTATTTAAGTCTCGTCAGTTGAGTTGTTATATTGAGGGATTCAGTATAAAATACACATAGACCAAATAAAACTGATAAAAATTTAGTCGATAACATCAACGACAGGATAATTCAAACCCTAAGAAACTGAAATTAATTATTGTGTGAAAAAAACAAGTATTGAGGTAGAGAATAAATATGTCAATTGATAATAAGAAGGGGTTTTGTGGAGAATTTAGTATTTTCATAGTTGAAATCATGAGTCAATTGAAGCTAGACCACCATGGAAAACCTGGAAGCACTGGACGGTCGTTTCGTCCTATTATGTGACTCCTCAGTAGGGCGCATCCACGATCCCGCACTCGCGAGATTCAAACCCAGGACCTACCAGTCTCACGCCAGAGCACTTGACCGATAGACCATATGCTCACTAGTGACTGGCTTCAAGAGATATTTCCATGAGTTCTAGTGGGAAGCAGTGCCCAGTGGAGTTCTACCAAGTCTGTTATAAAGATATCAACTCAATGAAGACAATTGGTGAACGTTTGCTCAGAATCGTGGATTGGTTGATGTTAGACATTATCACCGTTGGATGCCGGCTCAGTGGTCGAATTGAATTCATGAATCTATGTAAGCTAGACTACTATTGAAAACCTGGAAGCACTGGACGGCCGTTTCGTCCTAGTGTGAGACTCCTCAACAGTGCTCATTCATGACCCAGTACACGGGATTTGAACTTAGGACCTTCAGTCTTGTGCGCAAACGCCAAACTCTAGATCACTGAGCCGGCATCCAACGGTGTTAGTGTCTAACTTCAATCGATCCATAATCCATGATATTGCGCAACCATTCATTCATTGTCTGAGGTAGATACGTTTCTCTACTCTACACAGATTGGACTCAACTGATTACACCTTCTCACTAGAACTGCAGGGAATTCGTCTTGAAGTCAGTCACTAATGAGCAGCATGATTATTGTTAAAATAAGGGTTTGTGGAGATTGTAATGATTTGAATAGTTGAATTCATGAATCGACTATTAAAATCACTATAATCTCCACAAACTCTGATTCTCATGTAATTTTTGTTTGTTTATCCTAAAAGTCTCATATTTTTCAACAGAGTATAAAATCTAATTTAATATTCTTTTAACAACAAAATTTAATAAACTTAGTTACTAAATAAAATGACACCGAATTACGTTTACCTTTAAAACAAAATCTGTTTTCCTTTTCTTTTCTTTTTTCAATTTAAACTCTAAAACTAAAAATGAACATTTTTATCTTATTCTTATTGATAATAATGATTGTATGAAGGATGTTTATGGATAAGATCTCTTTCTTTGTTATGACTAGTATAAGTTCATAATTATGATATTTTACAAAGGCCAAAATAAGGCATATATATATAAATGAATTTGATAATGTTATATGTTAAAAGTGGTGAATGTTCGTATCTGTTACGATATATAAGACAATTTATAAGTCTTGTAAGCAAAGATGGATAGTAGCTAGCAGTGGAATCCAGGATGCGCGTTTCGTCCTATTTGGGACTCATCAACTGGATGTGCCTGCATCTCAGAGTTGATGTTCACTCTGGGACTCGAACCCAGTACTTTTCGCTTCAAACGTTATCGCGTTATCCACTCAACTACTGAGTCCTAATAGCCACTTGCTTGTGCAATGGGGTGAAGTTTAAATTCACATGATACTGTTTGTTTGAATCTTCCCATTGATGGTCAGTCTCTAATTGACCAGTTGCAGTCCTAAACATCAATGGGAAGATTCAAACAAATAATACTCAGTGAATTTAATGTATAGATCTATTTCATCCATATTATTGTAAAATTTATCTATCAAATTCTATCCATTGATTATTCAACTAATAACACAATTCAATCATGAATAATCTTGTATTCAGATAATCACATGCTAAAGACTAAATTTACCATACAGAAGATGTAACATTATGATTATTTTTTCTTTCTATTGTTGAGAAGTTAACTTTATCAGTCAATCTTTCTTTTAGTATATAAACTACTGATAGCAGGAATATACATGATTAATTTGATAGTCATGTAGTGAAAAAAAGTACAACATAGATGATACATGTATCATCTTTATTAACACTTAGTTTTAAACTTTATGAATAGATCATCAACTTTATTCTCTAATCTGAAGTTATAGTTTGTATTTATAGTGGAATGTTCGTTATTTCTTCTTTTTTGTTCTAATCATCCAAGAAATTTGATTTACGAA